GAGATGGATTCTACGGGGCAAGAGGGAGACTCTGATAAGACCTAGGGAAATAGGACGGCGTAGCAATATGGCAGACTCTGATCAACATTCCCAGCACAATGGTGAAGAGGAGCTGAGAACGCGAGACTATAGTTTGGAGGGTTCTGATGAACGCCGCTCAAAAGTGCACACTACACTATATATAAATAAGCACTTTAAAATTGTAACATTGAAGACCTGATACGATGATATGGGAAATGTGACTAGCCCAGGGCAGAAGGAGAGATACCAGAACTGTTTAGCACACGTTTGATGAAAGGATCGGCTTCACTTGTCTCTGACGCGTTGTGATGTGGTGCTAAGACTCGTTGACGATGCCGGCGAAATGCCTGGGAATGTACCACGTCCACCGTCCGACTGGAAATTATTATGTATACAATGGACTCCAGACTAGATGCGCTACCATAAGTATGACTGTTCGTAAGTAAGAGATAAAAATAAATGAAATTCGTGTATCTTCATTACTTTTTTGACTTTATTAACATTAAATTAATATTTAATAGTTAATGTGATAGATGAGCCCGCAAATCACTGCAATGAAGTTTTTACAATATTTCGCCGCGCACAGTTTGGGAATCACTGGCCTAAACTATTCTTGGATGGAGTGAAGTGCATAGCTAATAAAGGTATAAGGTGAAAGAGACCAACTTCTGGTATAGGTATCATTTACATACTAATTCACGAATTAGGAGATTTGCAAATTCAGGTATTCGAATAAATTCATAAATCGCAGTAAGATAATCATACATCCTAATCCGTTTACCCATAGAGATGCGACTTGGCGAAAATAGAACAACTTGGAATGAGTCTCAGGATATTTTCGTTATTATAATGCGTTACCGAATGAAGGCAGTGTCCATAAATAAGCTAGTAAGATCCGATGAGGAATTTCTCGATTGACTGCCCAGGAACATTTACCTTCAGGATGGCAATCAACGAATCTCTTTTGGTATTCTTCCTAACGTTAGAAACAATTCTAGGATAATCCAGCCTGTTTGAAAAAAAAACAGAAAATAACGCAATAATGGTAATATCATTAAAAATAATGAGTACGAATGATAAAACAAATAAATTCATTATGTAGTAAAAATTTTTGTCAAGAGTTAATGTTTCGTTTAAAGAGGTAGATGGAAGGAATTCGTAAGTTGATCACACCCAAGGTCATAGGATGACTATCTTGGAGCTGACTAGATTTGCGCGAGTAAGCCCACCGTCCCGCTACCCTGATTAATCTTTGCTGAGCTTTCGTCCGTCATGTGAGGCATCGTCAAAACCAGATAGCATTCTTTACGATAATTCGATATGTACAAAGACAAGAAAGGTGACCGATTGCAATCCTCCCTACTTAGTATAGTCTAACTATGTCAAATAAGTGAGATATCTCATAATTTGGTTGATAGCCTATGTTTTTTATACATGCTGTTTAAAAGTGAGTTGGTTGCGGTTGGCACGTGAAGCGGCCGAAGATGAATGGTAAAATGGATGCAATTGTGACCGAATAGCTTAATAATGAGGATAGCTTAGTGCATAAAACATCACGATACATCGCTCAACAAATAAAGGAAATCTCCAAGGCATGGCGGTATTTAATAAGGAATTTTTATGAACTCGTTAGCATAATTGATGATGACTGTAGATTTGCTTATTAGTTTTATTGTGGAATCGATTTAACCCAACATTCCTACAACTGGAGTTACACAGACTCTAAGAGTAGCAATGGACCAAAATTGGGATATTCAGAAAAATACAGATTTAGGCAAAAGTTAATAATTATATTGACCAATTTCAATACAAGGCTAAGCTGTGTGATCATGTTTGTCCCCAATTTTAGCA